CTAGATTTGAACTGGCACTTATAGGCTACCTCCCTCCCCGAAGGAGCAAATCTTTCCTTGAGGAACGTTCGCAATTGACCATAGTCTTGGGATTGCTGCAGGGTTAAGTCCCCCAATACGCTTTGTGCAGAAACCCTTAGCGCCATTACCAACTGCTCAGTTGCCTCCCACTCACTCCACCTGTTCCAACCCATAATTCTCTCGAAATGCAATAAATATTGCATGAAATCGCAGGTTCCATCATATGGCTGTGGAACCATAGGTTTCCTATACCTTTGACGTTCCGACTGTTCATTCCTACCCCCCTGTTCCCTTGTCTTACTATTGGGTGAATACCCCTCGATGCCATCGTCTGTCTGTATAACCTCAGACGCACGACTTGGCGTACTCGTCCTTGGGGCACTAGGTCTACCATACATGTAGTCTATCCCCCCCCCCCATGCTTGGCCCAGGTAATATAGAGCTATCCCCTAAAACTCCTTTGACCACCCTAGCACTATCATCGGTGAAATGAAATGACACTGAAGGTCTACCATCCCGAAATATATCTGCCATTCCTGCCTCCACTAGCCTTAAACTCTCGTCTTCCACCCTTCCAAATTGAAATGCAGCCATAACCAATATAGTCAACTTAACTCTACCGGATTGCCAGAAGATCACGGCACCAGTGTAGTAGTTTCGTATAGTGGAATTTTCAGGTAACCACTCCTGGGTTCCGTAGAATATTCTTATGACCTGTATGACCGCATAACAAAAGGAAACAACGCCGTAATTATGTACAGAACGTATTTATTTACGCACAAAGACCCTTCGAGACGACCCCCCGACATTATACACAACAAGCAATACACATATCTAAGACGAACGGACGACTCGCCTACATATTATAGACGACGGATAATTTAGAACCTAGTTGAGTCGGTATATGTTGACTCTCAGTCAGTTGCTAGGCTAAACTTGACCCCGGGAGTCAACAGGGGCCGCTGAAAGAAACCGAAACATGAATTTAGTGACCCAGGCCGAATGTTAATTTGACTTACCGAAATGTTGCGTCAGGCAGGGTCCGTGAGCTCTGGCCAGTTCCCGATCCAAACTTCCGCCAGAACTAACGAAACCCTCGTGCATTCCCTTATATAAGGACCTAGCCCCGCCTTCCGACCCTGGACCCACCTAGTTTGACCCTGGTTCGACTGGTTTGGCCGGTCAAAACCATGAACCTAACCAGAAGCTCGGGACATGTACCGTCAGTGCCAAAAATAGCACAGGGGAATTCCCTACCGACAACTACCACTAGGAGGCGCCACTACATACGAACGCTACAAAATGGCCGTCTCACAGGACAGAACGGAGTTACCTAGCAGGAATAAACGTGTTCCTGCTACACTTGAATACTTTTTATATTCAATTAATATTGAGTCATCCACTATATGCAACTAGTGCAATGTTTATGGTTCGGAGTTCAACCAGACAAAATAGGAAAATAGTAACATGTATGCCCAATATTAAAACAAGTAAATTATGAATTAAACACTAAATCATAGGCTACATTAAAAAACAATCCTGAATATCCAGTTTTGAACGTTAGGCCTGGTTGTTCAACGAGTCATTAATAGTCTAGATATTTTCGTAATGCAATTTTTGAGAAATATCACAAACTTACAAATATGTTTGTTTTTCTTGTCAACCAAGTATGAAATCCTATACATATAATTTCAGTTCTCAATTGAAATCAATTGTGAATATACTTAAGATTTAATTTTTCGTAAATCTACATGGGCTTTGAACAACTGGACCCTGATGATGTACATACCATTTCACTAGTTCCGAGTCACAGATCACTTTCAGATTTAATATATTTCCAAGTATCAACGTCAACTAATTTAAGTCCAAGCTCGACTCGCCTGGTCAGCATTTCGGGAATGAATGCCCATCGATCAAAATGTCTATTTTGGGCAAATAACCCTTGTTCCAGCTACTTTCATTAAAGTGGATACGCTCTATATATGTATTATTTTCTCCAAACCAAACTACAAAATCGACCCATTTTAAACCTGTCGCAAACATCTGACCCTGAACTTGCACAAAATAGTGATGTTTTCTGTCCAAAGCTATTTTGGCATTCTCAGATATTTTCAGAACAAATTGTGGATCCCACCAATCCACAATCCATAATCAGACAGGCGTCTTCTACAGTATAACCCATTTGCTGAATGGGCATTTGCATTCCAGTCCACCATTTTGGTTTTCCACAGTTGGGTCGTTTACACGACAATCAAAACTTGCACCAAACCCAGGCCTGTCTTTTGAAATAATTAGACCTGCTCAGAGACCAACACATCACATCCCACTTTCTGTTTTGCTTCACATACGCTGCAATAGCATTTACCTCATTTTCCAAAATTAGATGTCATTTTGTGTTTATGTAAAAGTTTCCAATATTGACAACCAGACTGCTTGCGCGTTTCACTCTCTACATGGGAAATAGCTTGGTTTAAAATTACCTCAGCCGCAATAACTGGTTCAACATACTCTTCAATAAACTGTTTATCTACTACAGAGTAATCGGAAATATTTCCCTTAACCTGAATGGTAATCAAAGGTAGATCTAATGGTGGAATATATTCCTTCTGCTCAACATGTGACATATGTGTTCATAGTTATGTTAATACTTTCAATGCTGTCCACAAAAGCAGGTTCTTCATCGCTGGATCATTATGATACAGCAAAAAATGCAGAATTTGGTGCATGATCTTTCATATTTTCAAATAGTTTTGGGACGGCCTGATTATTTATTGATGTGTCCTGAGGAGCCGCTCCGTTGGTCAAAGACTGTATCATTTGGTCGGTTCTGCTCTGTCTTGCCACAATCCAACCATTTAGTTTGGAGGTACATGCTACTTTTTGAGGATGACTGTGCAGTCCCTGTTCATGAAAGTTGTTGACAGCGAACAGCAGGCCCCCAATATGGGTACATACATGTAATTAACATAAAAATACCTTGGACTTTCAATAGATTAAAAAAAAACCAATAATTTTTGGTTACTGAGCTGGGATTGTGAGTACAATAGACTAAACCAATTTCCATATATTTTTCTGTATAATTCCTTCAAAGGATATTACTAAAATGTTCGTGAAGATAAACATGTGTTTACACTGTATTGATATGGTTATACTGCATACTATCTGCAATGTCACATAATAATTACAACAGGTGTATATGTGCTTTTAATACACAATATACATCTTCAGTTAAATGAAATGATGTATTGCTATGCGTAATGAAAAGTGCAAACAGGGCTTAGGAGCTACTATGGGGAAAGTATTATTTAACCATCCTGTTCATGGGGATTGCATGCTTACTGCTAATAACTTTATCCTCTGTATGTAACCAACTATTTTTTTCACACTATCAGATAACACGTTATATATGAAATAGTAGTGTTAGTTTACTATTATAATATATTATATTATTACAATATATTATAGTATCATAATATACCTGTACCAGGCCGAAGTGGGCTTGTACCATTTTTTTTTATCCGGATATTGGCAGCCAATTGATTTTGTCAAAGTAGGATATACAGTTGTGTAATGAATAAACATATTTGCAGCACTCTTAATATCAAAGAAAATATCAAAAATCTGAATTTTCTTTCATCTAACCGATATATTTTCGTTCTTCATTTTTGGCGAAAAAAGGTGAAAAATAGGCCAAATTTAAAAAGTTTCATTCTCTCAATTCAAGATGGTTAGCTGACGGCCATCTTAGTTTTGCGATCAGTCCCAAAATACCATATGCATAACTAAGTATCATCGGAGATTCCTCCTGTACATTCTGAGAAATAGCGCTAAAAATCTTTAACTTCCAAATTAAAGATGGCTGCCTTTGGTTTTGCAATCAGTCCCGAAAAACGAAATGCACAACTATGGATAATGGGGAACTTTCATGTGAAATTTGAAAAAGATCCCGTGAGTACTTTCTGAGAAAAAGCGCTAATAATATTTGTGTAAGGGCGGATGCAGGGTGGTTTGAATAGCCAACCATCTGATGATGGTAAAGCTAAAAATAATGTTAAATAACTATGTATAACGGATGTCGTTGCTGTGCATTCTACACTGCATTGTGGTGCTCACCATGTTGATGTTATATTGATAGCAGCTTTAGAGCTCATCGAATTAAAATAATACGAAACTTGCAATGTTTTTTCGCCTTTCCATGGAATACGTGTAATCATTATGTTGGTGGTCGGGTGTTGCAGTGGAAAGGCGCACTTGCCCTTCACCAAGGCGCCCGGGGTTTGATTCCCCGATCGGACGTGAAAAGCTATTGGGTCACCTGCCCGACCACGCGAGTTTTCACATGGCACTTGCAATGTTTTTTCGCCTTTCCATGGAATACGTGTAATCATTATGTGGGTGGTCGTGTGGTGCAGTGGATAGCGCACTTGCCCTTCACCAATGCGCCCGGGGTTTGATTCCCCGATCGGACGTGAAAAGCTATTGGCTCATCTGCCCGACCACGCAAGTTTTCTCATGGCACTCCGGTTTCTTTCCACACTTAGACCCCCCGCGCGCTAACATCAGGGCCAACAAGAGTGATTAATATAAGTTGACATAACTTGTTTCATAATTGTTGTAAAATAAATAAAGTTTATTATTATTAATCATTATGTTATGGGTTTTTTCAAAGACAGTCTTGTTGCTTATAGACCCAACATAAACTCCTCGAAGTAAACACGTCAAGTCGTTGTTTACAGACTGTTGTCAAAGTGTAGCAGTGCCCGCTCTGTTACAGATAGCGGTTCACACGCACAGACGTCAGGTTACATGTTACCGATTGTAATTTACATTCATTTTAGATAAGTAAGATGCAGGTGTGAGTAGATTTGGCTGTTGACCTATGTACACAGCGCATCTGTTTGAACTCATTTAGACGTAATCAATGACAAATACTTCTACCAACTCTTATGGATTGTGAAATATCCTACTTTAAAAGATAAGAAACACCGTTATCTTCTGACTATTTAAACTAAGGTGGAGAGTGCCTTGGCATTGTACTGACGATCCTATTCAGGAGTTTTCTGATGGGTAAGTAAGCTTTCTATAATATATATGTTCCCTTTTACATTTATCGGTTTGACCATGTGCATTAATACCAGGTTGATTGTATAAGCATAAATATTACTATTCGTAGATAATATTATATTACTCTGCCAGTGTCAAAGAAAACAAATAGACGCTGATGATGTGATAATAATATTAGCAAATAAACACCAGTCAACAGATTAACATACCGTGAATCCCTCGTTGTTTGAACGCGAGTCTTGCGATTGTTAGTTTGGAGTTTTACGTCCTCGCATTTAGAAGATCATGAATGTTAACACGTTAATATTACTTGCCAGGTACCTACAGTTTTCACGCCTCTTTCCTGGTCTGCCTTGTTGGCATACACTGTAAGTATTGTCACTGCAATAATTATAATCCATTTATGAACAAACAAAAACATCATTTCATAAGATATTCCTTTTGAAACATGTGTGTTTGATGTACAAGATGTGTGTCTCTTGGCGTCTCCTGCATTTTTGCCTCTTGTTTGGTCTTGAATGTACATAATCATATAGTAATGGCACAACAAATAAATCAAACAACTCTATCATGTATTAAAATGTTTTACAGTAAACGGTTTGTGACAAGCCGGATAATAAGTGTAATGTTCATTTCTTATAATGTCAGCATGTAAAATGCGCGTATGTGTGGTCGCGAGAGAACAACTTCCTCACTGCGTTCACTTCTACCTTTGGTTAAAAATAACTTGGTTATTTCTTCTGACCAATTTTGTTGCCTATTTTGTTTATAACAATTGCTTTGAAAGTTCTAAAATCTATTAAAGCAGTCAAGTTTCTTCCGGTTGCTGTTTCATATCAATACACTGTACAATGTAATTGTTAACATACCCGTTTAAACAAGACTTTCTGCCGTATCGCAGGTACCGCCGCTATACGATGTTTGCGTTGTAATGACATCTCACAACCAAGTCAATGTAATTTTATTGAAAACTGCCCTCACGGAGAAGTACGTAGAACATTTGCTATGTTCATTATTGTATTAAATGTCAGTTCGCAGAATTGAAAATCATTAAAATTATTGTATTATTTTCACTTCAAATATTACATATATCAAATATATCAGATACATTGTTGTTAAAAATTAAGAATTCTCATAATAAAAACATAAATGTTGCATGTATACACAGTCATGGTTTGCACGTTGGTTGTAAGGAGATGTACGTTTCCGCAACAGCAATGACAACATTCTCCATTGACAATTAATTTATTCCAGCACAATATATATAATTCTTAACAATGAAATAGAGGCACAGGTCAATTGTGGGTTTTGTTCGTGACCCTAACTTGTGAGTACTGTATAAAAAACGATATTTCTACGTTGAATGTCCTGTTCAATGTATATATGACCTACCATTTATTTTCATTCCAGATATGTGTGACCCAATCTTACCAAATTGGAAATGGGGCAACCTATTTCAACATCGGATGCATGTCTAAACAGGTAAATAACAACGATCATAGAGATGATAATGGTCCAGCGACCAATACGTAAAGGTGTAATTAAGGATGGGAAAAAATCGGTTAAGCCATATGTTCGGTCCTTTTCTATGGAGTAAAAATTCGAAAACGGTGATTGAAATTTCGTATACATGCTTTTAAATTAACGTAATAAATAAACGAAAACATCTTTAAAACTGTCTTCACTCTGTTCGCCTCTAACGTTCTTACTTTTATGTCATGCCTTTTAAGACACATGCATAAATATATCGGTGTAAAATAAATATATATCAACAAAGTCTTTTTTTATTTGGCTTCAAGAGGTGTTTTTTGACTTCTCAACATAACCACACATCTGTCGTCACTCGGACAGACAACAACAGAACACACAATGTATGTTCAGAATGCTGTTACGGTGACCTTTGTAACGCCGCCGGGTGTGGTACAGATGGTAGGTCGTTATTTCGTATAGATAATTTACATTGTATAGGCCTGTATAGGCCTGTCAAAAGACGTGAGCGCGTGGATGGGTAATTTCCAACTGATTAAATTCAAACTACATAGGCAATTTAGTTACAATGATACCTCGGATGGATAACCATCATTATCCGACTGTAACTTACGTTGCTTTGCCTCCTGATTTAGTTTTGTTAATGTAATCACAATTATCTGACCATAATATACTTATATCCCGGGACTTCACTAATGCAATGCTAAATGCATTCTAAGATGTTTTATTGCAGTCATTAATCCACCAGGTATGTTGAATTATTTCTCCTTTAATATCAATTACTCACAATATTTAGTATTTTTTCAAACAGCTGCTCATTCCACGTGTGACGTCAAAGACGCCAAAGTTACTCAAATTCGTACAATGGAAGGCGATGCTAAAATATCAAATAAATCGAATTTCCTTAAACGAAGTGAAAAGTTTGAGGCTCACCACTTTTAAACGAATACTTTTTACGCTATGATGTTCTTCGGTGTGTTATTAAATCGTTACTATTTGTTAAGGATTTCCAAAACAGAGGGGACCGGTATGTTTCAATTGTCCACAATCACGTGATCCTGCCGATTGTGACGTCATATCAGTTTGTCATCAGGGACAGGTAACGATATTACATTTTGCAGTATTTACAAAGTATAGTTTCAATTAAAATTTTGTGGAAGTTTTATCAACGGAAACTATATTTATACACTGCAATTTAAAGGATATCGGCAATTATGTTGCCAGGTATGTTCATCTTTATACAAATAATTATTTACATTATAAACATCAGCGAAAAAGGACCATGGACTCGCATAAAACACCAGAAAGGTAACTTATTTTATAGGTTTTCCGTTTAGAAAGAACTCAGTTTTAACATTTGTACTTTTAAAGGTCTGTCATGTTGAAGAAATTTACGAGTTCGGCGATGTATTCTACAAAACCAGCTGTGTACAGAATACTGTGAGTACTGTTTTGTTTTCGGACCCGTTGTTATAGGCTGCAAGAAGGTAACATAAGATTCACAGCAGAGTTTCAGTTTTATTGTTCATTGAATTGGTTTTGCTCACACGTTTATTTGGTATTGTTTTACGGCTCATTGACAATTTATGTTCGGTTTGGTTTTATTTTGTTTAACGTCCTATCAACAGCTAAGGTCATTTAAGAGCATGCCTCCTTGTGTGATGCGTAGGCGTGCATGTGTGAATGTGTACCGGAGGCAGGGTATGTTAGTGTACTCATTTAGCACCAAATATCACTGTCAAAATAGACGTTCAAAAAATATAATGAAACTCAATATGTCAAAAGATGTCAAAGATGAAAACAAACGAAGGGAATTGCGTGTTCGTTCGCCATGTGTACGTTCCCGTACTGGTAATTTATAGCTCATTCAACAATCGATGCATGATGACTACTTGCTTATGAAGACCTATCCAGACATTGATGGCAATAAGTGAAAAGTCAATTTCCCCATGATTAGTAAAGAATTTCTGAACTACAAGTATGACACATTTATATACAGAACTATGTTAGTGATAAGGTTAGTGGGTTATCGTGCGGAAGTTCCAAATTCCTTAGCTTATCTTTCCAATCAGGACATTACCAGTTCACAGGAACCAAACAACTGTTTACTGATCTCGTGATATCTGTGGCCCTATCATGTTGTATAAATGGCATTATGTCGACCCTTTAATTCATGGAAACCCAACGAAAGGAGGTGGGGGTTTAAAAATACAGAAACTAATTATCACAATTGCAAAGATATTAACCATTCGTTAAGTGGTTGGGCAGTGCTGGAAATGTTGAATGCTTGTTGTGATCGCAAAATGGCAGCACCGGATGATGTTGTCTTTACAGGGAGTTGAGAAAGATATTGACTAGTTGCAAAGGCCCTATAACCATGGATAATAATTTATGAACCGCTTTGAGACAACCTACGAATTAGGTTGTGATAAAGCGCAGTATATAAGGACCTCAAATTTTTATTTTATTTTACCATATTGACATGAATTGTGAATAAAGTGCAATACATTTTGGCAGAGCTTATGTTTATAGTCATTGCAACTCATACGATCTTTAAGGCCCATTGGCCCATCGTGAACAGTTTGTTTACAGGTTTTTCACATGCAATCATATAAGTGATCAACAATCGGATTATGCCATTCCCAACTAAAACAAAACATGTAGCCAGTAAACCTTTACATAAGTATCTAGGCCTTTGCTAATTGCAGTGAACTTTTAACAGTTTGCCTAAAATGACCTATTTGTGTGTGTTACATTGAGAGCGAAGTGGAGGTGGGTCGGTAATATTCAGTATTTTCAGCTTTGTTTTTGTTTATTCGTGGCTGGTAGACATTGCATAACCTTATAAGGGTTACATACACCAGTCAGTCATTGAGTTCATAACGGCCTCTCAACACAGAATTGGTCTTTAAAAAGGTAGATAAAACATGCCAAAGGCAAAAGTGGCTATCTATTGTTAGTTATATTTGTTAACCGTTACGAACAGAAATTTGATATTAGAAATTGGTTATTATAGAGAATATTGACTTTATTATATATTGGATAATTAGTATAAAAAAATGCAATAAGGAAGCAAAATTGATTTGATGATATTCATGTTTGAAATATGTTTGTAAACATTTCTTTTATTTTAGGCGTGTTTTTTTCTTGCTCCTTATGAATCTGATTATAATTGTAATCCTAAGTATTTATGTACATTTGAATGTATATGTTATATACTGTTCAATTTAGGATCAGCAATGTGTTTCTCCTCCTGTATTTAATCCGGTGGAGATTGGCAAGCGGTCTACTACACAGGGAAACTGCTTCTCCTGCTGTTCGGATGACTTTTGTAACACCAAATGTAAATATCATAAGATTTATTGCTTTATTAACTTTATTAAAATAATATCGGTTACCTACTCATCCAGCTGAACGCTGCACACTTGTCATTATAAAGACCGCATACAAGCAGCCTCAGTGTCACACACATTATTGATTGTCCACCTTTTCCATTTAACATGTCTCAAGAAAAAGCTTCCACTTTTCTGTATACTAGGGTAATATAGGTTAGGTTTTAAGAATTAATCTATCCTTATCGATATCAGCCATGTTTTTATTACGAGGCCACACTTTCATGTTACATTAGCACACGTACCAAACGTTCCAATTGATGTATTTGTTCAGAAATGCTCACTAGACTTAAATGCAGAACTACCCTTCTGCAAGCACAGGTTCAAAAATAGTTAAACTTAAGAAAATCATCAAATGAATATTTAAGTTGACTTTAGCCGGTTTCTTGATAATTGAGATGGTGAACGATCATCGAACGAATGTTTAATATGTAACGTCACTGAAGTCAATCTACGTCAAGCAAAGGGACTTCTTTCTTTCTTTTTTTTACGCCGCATCGTCAATTTGCTATTTCGAGCAAAACCACACAGAAAAAGGAATATCTATCTACTCTGGAATGTATAAAACGTTGCGTTGTTAAATCCAATTGTAAATTGTTTCTGTATTTTTTTCCAGGCAATGTTACTACAACGGCTGTACCATCAACGACGCCGTTTTCATCACTGGCGCCAAACGACAACGGTAAGTATAGTAAATGAAAATGAAATAATATCGCTTTGGTAACATTCTATGTATCAATTAATTAAGAATAGGATATTTTGCAACGGAATTTCTATATCGTCACTCTTGTATTTTCCAAAACTTTTGAGCTCAAAATGGACCGAAATAAAGCTACAGGCAAAATATCAGTATTTATGACAATAAGTCATTCAAAAGAACCTGTTCAAGATTAAACGCATTTAACCGCTGTGCATTTGAAAGTCAAACACGTTCATTACGTTGAACGTTATAGCCATAATCTTAGCATTCAACTTGCAAAGAACCACCACCCTATAGCTTTTGTTTATATACATGTAACCAAATAAGACCATGAATGAGGGTCAAGATCATTCAAATGAAAAATAATTGATAGCCCTTCATCGAGGTATGCTACTGGCTAAATATCAACAGTTTTGACTTTTTGGTTATGCAAAAGATGTTGTTTAATGATTGTAAACATATTTGAACCTCACCCTTGTGACCTTGATTACTGGTGAAGGTCATTCATTTTCACTAAATTGGTAGCCTTTTATCCTATCATGCTAGTGACCAAATATCCTCATTCTGGGCATTATGGTAATTCAGAAGTCGTTTTAAGATTTCAAACATATTTGACCCCTGTGACCTTGAATATAGTTCAAGGTCATAAAGTTGAACTAAGTTAGTAGCCCTTCAACCCAGCATGATACTGGCTAAATATCATCAGTCTGGGCATTTTGGTTATTCAGAATAAATTGTATAAAATTGTTAACATATTTGAACCCTGTGACCTTGAATAAAAGTGAAGGTAATTCATTTTAACAAATTTGGTAGCCCTTCATCCGAGTTTGCTGCTGGCCATATAGTATCAAACTAGGCCTTTAGGTCATTAAGTAAAAGTTGTTTAAAGTATCTGACACCGGACGACAGACAGACGCTTGATGCCGGACCACGGCATAAGCTCACTAGGCCCTTAGGGCCAGGTGACCTAAAAGTTATCGAGGTAAAGCTACAGGCAAAATTTCAGTGTTAATGATTATAAGTCACTCAAAAGAACATGTTAAAAAGTAAACGCATTTGACCGCTGTAACTTTGAAAGTCGAACACGTTCATTACGCTGAACAAACTTCAAAGGCCTTCATCTTAGCATGCAACTTACCAAATACCACCAACCTAGACCTTTTGTTTGAATGAAATATGATCAATTTTACGTTATGCACAAACTAAATAAGACCTTAAATGTGGGTCAAAGTCATTTAAATGAAAACTCTTGATACCCCAAGCATGGTCCTGTTTAAAGGTAATTCTGATATTTGACCCGTGATCTTGAAAATAGGTCAAAATCATTCATTTTTACAAACCTGGTAACCCTTCATCCATGCATGCTACCGACTTACTATCAACATGCATGGCTTTATGGTCATTCGGAAGATTTTCAACACATTTGACCCCTGTGACTTTAGCGTTAGGGTTAACCCTAACCCTAATATAAGACAGTCATTCATTTGGACAAACATGGTAGCCCCTCACCGACGCATGCTACTGGCCAGATATCAACATTATGGTTTTGTAGATTATGTCGTTTGAAGGTTAAGATATTATTTGACCCCTCTGACCTTGAATATGAGTCAAGGTCATTCATTTAAACGGACGTTGTAGCTCTTGATCCCAGCATGTTACAGGATAAATATTATCATCCTTGGCCTTTTGGTTATTCAGAAGAAGTAATTTAAAGATTTTGAACATCCTTCGGGCCAGGTGAGCTAATAATGATTGATATTTGTTGTGCCAAAAAAGCAGTGAGGAGTAATGTTGACGAGACCGTAGTGTCGGGTGTTTTTTGGATGTCGAAGTTATGCAAAAGATATTGCTAAAAAATGATCTTGATCTTCAAAAATAACGTTGTTTTTTACAGGTTTCCAGGGCAAGGAGTTTTTCTTGATGTTTATGAGGAATTTTATGTATAATTACGATTCGAATTTAAGTGCTATTGTAACTTTCTTTGCACCCGATGCTCAAATCAAGTTGACCACAGCCTATAATTCAACATCATATAATGTATCTGGCCCTACAAAACACATCGACATAGACGCAAACATGACCATGCGGGAAAATGGGAAGTCAAGCAAAGGGATCATTCTGACTTCTAACACACCCGTATCTGTCAGTGCATCAAGTTTAACTCGATGTTGTTTATCGGAAGATTACATGACCCTGCCGATAGAGAGCCTTGGTTCATCTTATATTGTTGGAACGTCCAAACCAAGTCACGATTTTGGAAGCTCGTTCGCTGTAGGATCGCCGTTCGACAACACAGTTGTAAACATCACACTGAGTTCCTCTGGTGTATATGGACTTGGTCAGTATCAAAAGGAGGGGAACGAAATGACTGTCGTACTGGACAGATTGGATACATTTTACGTTCAGACACAAAACGATGATCTTACCGGTACACGTATCGAGAGCGATAAACCCGTGGCGGTGGTATCTGGTAATCGCTGCACATTTGGATTTGAATTTTGCAACTATGTCGTGGAGTATCTACCTCCTGTGTCCACATGGGGTTTCAGATTCATGGTTCCACCCATCAAGAGCACTAAACGAGGTTACCAGGGTTTAGGCAGGATCAGGATTGTCTCGTCGGTTAATAACACGAATGTCAAGATCAGATATCAAGACATTTTTTCAATCGCAACCAAAACATATAGAATATCAACATTTTTAGATATAGACACAATTCCAACAAAGGCGTACACTATTTCTAGTGATCAACCTGTACTCGTCCTACTGTTTCCAATAAGACAATCTATCGGGATGACTTTAGTTCCATCCATTAATCAATTCTCACACGGGCCAGTTCTCGTCTCTCCTCCTAATGTAACCTCAAGCTTCGATAACTACATCGCAGTCACTATTCGGACAAATGACGAGGCGGGTCTACAGCTTCTCGCCGTTAACGGGACGGACTTGCCTAATTTTGGATCATTGAATTTTCCTGATGCTGACGGTGAAATATATAGCTTCATTACGGTATCCTGTAACAATACCAAGACGTGTGTTGTCCAACATACAGACAACAACGTGGCGTTTAGTGTTATTGTATATGGGTTTAGAAAACCCTTCGAAAAGCGTAAAGCGTCTGAAACGTATGCATATCCAGGAAATCTTAAATTGTAGCTGTAATTGATCACGAATAAAAATGTTGCAAACGATTTTATCCTGTTGAATGTTTTGTTTTTATCGACAAAAGGAGATGTTATGGTATTAAATACAGTTATAATGCTGAGTTGATATTGCTAACAAAAAACTTTCTATTCCTACAAGCGGTTCGTTATACTCGTATACGTCTCGCACCTGTTCGTTTCTATGATGTTTAACGCCCTCAGAGCAGCGAAATCCATTTTAAAACAGGGGACGCCACCGAAAGGAAAGAGAAGCAAAGTTAGAAAAGAGACCTAAAGTAATGCAATGTGTAAAGTAGGTCAATGTTGGTTTCTAAAATATCATTTTTAAAGAAAAGATACAGAATAAAACGCAAAGTCGATAGGGGTCCTACAAAAGTCGTCTTTTACGATTACTTGCAGTGGGATAGAATGACCGGTTCCCGAATAGCGGTATATAGACAGCTATGTTATAAAAAAGGCATACTCATGAAACAGGGATGGGATTTGGGCAGAGGCGTTACAACAAACACGTTCTTGGTTTCCATTCTTTTAATTATTCCATTTGTGGACATCAGACTAGCTGGAAGAATCTTGCACCCTACAAGAACACAATAACGAACGTATAAGACAACATGCAGTAGACACCACCTTGTTACTAAACCATTACACTGTACCTATTACAAGGTTTCATATCATTATCTGTATAATTACATCTATCATTTATTATTAATCATATTTCATACTTATGATATATTTCACAATATATTTACTAATTTCATTGACTTTATATAACAATGCTCATGGACAAAATAGACTTTATAACCTATTTAACTGGCTAATATATTACACATTACTTAGACCAATAACATATATCATTTGTAATATACATTGTTTATATTATATATAACTGTAATGAACTTACTCTATCAATGCGACATGGGTTCCCACATAATCCTGATAATCCAGCATATATAACTGCAGGCGAATCTGAACAAATAACCAATGACTCTTTACACTACTTGCAAGAACAATTAATAGCCGTTACATCGTAGTATGTAATTGATTTAGTCTGATATATTTACATTATCATTAAAATAGAAATAGAAAGAAGTTATTCCAAATTTCCAAATATTCACAGAGCATATAGCCTGAACATTACTCAGTACATCAATAAAGTACACTATACTAGTTACTCAAAATATCTCATCCTAATTTGGAGAGTAAATACAATCTGTTTTACAGTTAGCTATTACATGAAAAGAGTATTTTCAAAATTACATTAATTTTGAACATATTAACTCCTACCTTTTACATATGGTCAATCCCTCCAACCTGTCTGCCAGAACTGATTTACACTCAGGTGAATTGCACGGGTAGGTAGGAAAGGTCACATGACCAACAGGTAAGTATGGGGTTACAGGTCACAGGTTACAGAACAAAACATAAACAAAAGCACATGGCACTGAACAACTGACACATGGACAATGACACTGAACAAGACTAGATACTAAACACACAATACATGTACACCTGAACAAACAAGACATAATTACATATTAAACTCCACTAATATTACTAACATTCATCCGCCTTTCTTAAAACATTATAATTTAATTACTACACTATCCATAATACTTGGACAGGCTATCCCTGCCACACTCATAAACGTTTTTGAGGTAAGTGGGACTGAATCATTGACACGGGACGTCGACCAGTACCCCTGTCCCCCTAGCCTAACATAAAGTAGACAGTGTAAAGATTACTAAGTTGAAGAAATTATGAAATTATATTGAAAATTGACTGAATTAAATCGATTTGAAAAGGGTAGTATCACAATTGGTTATAAGGCCCGAGCCCGGCACGGCAGCCGTTACTTTGTTGATGACGCCCCGACAGCCCGGGCTTTGACCTGGGTCAGTACTCCCTGTCCCCTTTAGCCTACACTGGTGATTAGAAAAGGAGTAAAATACTCAGAATTGAGCAAAATAAAATGTTTAGGTGTAAAATAAAACATCTAGGAGTAAAATAACCTGGAAAGGAGTAAAATTTTACCCCATACGTTTTATTTTACCTCTATCCGGGTTATTTTACCCCCTTGACAAGTTAAAGTACTCCTAGATTATTATTTTACCCCCATGACGAGTTAAAGTACTCCTATTTAAGTTATTTTACCCCCCTGACGAGTTAAAGTACTCCTAGATTATTATTTTACTCCCCTGATAAGTTAAAGTACTCCTATCCGGTTTATTTTACCCCCCTATCGAATTAAAGTACTCCTAGATTATTATTTTACCCCCCTGACAAGTTAAAGTACTCCTATCCGGTTTATTTTACCCCCCTGACGAGTTATAGTACTCCCCGATTATTATTTTACCCGTAGACGTTTTATTTTACTCATTGGACTTTTAAAGTACTCGTGGCTTTTTATTTTACTCGTGGCTTTTTATTTTACCCCCTTTATTTACCTGTGCTCCACGGCAACAGGATCTGCGCTGGCGGTTAGCTAGGCCTTTGATCTAACCGGGTAGTAGCCTGTCGACCACTTCGAGCTGCCGCGGGCGGTGTCAAGCATCACCAGGTAGCTCTGTTCATGTGTGAACACTTGTCAGTCGACAGCTCGCCTCATAATTAACAACGTGTCTGTGCTTTGTTCACCTATGTTTATTTGGTGTAATCAGAATAAAACTATGGAACTGTGCCGTGTTTGTAATTTACTTCAACTTGAAACTGGTGTTTTGGAATACGTGTTTGATACATACTCGATTTATGTCAAATTAAACTTTGAAAATGTGCCGTGTTTGTTACATACTCGAACAGCGCCGTTGAAATACATGTTTAAAACTATGGAATTGAGCCGTGTTTGTAATTTACTTCGACCTGGTGTTTTGAAATACGTGTCTGTAACATAATCGAACTGTGCCGTTAAAATACATGTGTATACACTCCATTAATATGTCAAATAAAACTATGGAATTGTGCCGTGTTTGTAATATACTTCGGCCGTGTCTGTTGAAATATGTTTGCTTATTACTCGATTTGTAATAAAAATATATTTAAATACATTTATCGTGTTTGTACTTTATTCGGCCTGATGATCTAAAATACGTGTTTATTAAACACTCGATTAATATGTCAAATTAAAACTATAAAACTGTGCCGTGTTTGTAATTTACTTCGACCTGGTGTTTTGAGATACGTGTTTGTTACATACTCGAACTGTGCCGTTGAAATAATACACTCAACAAATATGTCAAATAAAACTATGGAATTGTGCCGTGTTTGTAATTGATATCGGCCTGGTGTTTTGAAATACATGTTTGATGTTTTATACACTTACTATGTCAAAATAGAACTATGGATTTGTGCCGTGTTTGTTATTTATATCGACCTGGTGTTTTGAAATAAATGTTATATACATTCTCGATTAATATGTCAAATTAAACTATAGAAACTGCGGTGTTTGTAATTTACTCCGACTTGGTGTTTTGAAATTCGTGTTTTAAACACTTGATTAATGTGTCAAAATAATACTGTGCCGCGTTTGTAATTTACTTCGACCTGGTGTTTTGAAATACGTGTTTATAACACACTCGAACTGTGCCGTTGAAATAATACACTCCATTAATATGTCAAATTAAAACTATAAAACTGTGCCGTGTTTATAATTTACTTCGACCTGGTGTTTTGAGATACGTGTTTGTTACATACTCGAACTGTGCCGTGTTTGTAAATTACTTCGACCTGGTGTTTTAAGATACGTGTTTGTTACATACTCGAACTGTGCCGTGTTTGTAATTAGCTTCCATCTGGGTTTTTTAAACATTCTCGAACTGTGCCGTGTTTGTTAATTACTTCGACCTGGTGTTTTGAAATACGTTTTTGTAACATAATCGAACTGTGACGTTAAAATACATGTTTTATACACTCCATTAACATGTCAAATAAAACTATGGAACTGTGCTGTGTTTGTAATTTACTTCGGCCGTGTCTGTTGAAATATGTTTGCTTATTAATCGATTTATAATAAAAATATATTTAAATATATGTATCGTGTTTGTACTTTGTTCGGCCTGATGATCTGAAATACGTGTATATTAAACACTCGATTAATATGTCAAATATAAACTATAAAACTGTGCCGTGTTTGTAATCTACTTCGACTTGGTGTTTTGAGATACGTGTTTGTTGCATTCTCGAACTGTGCCGTGTTTGTAATTTACTTCGACCTGGCGGTTTTTAAAATGTACGTGTTTATAACATACTCGAACTGTGCCGTGTTTGTAATTTACTTCGGCCGTGTCTGTTGAAATATGTTTGCTTATAACTCGATTTGTAATAAATATATTTATATATAAATTTGTCGTGTTTGTACTATATTCGGCCTGATGATCTGAAATACATGTTTATTAAACACTTGTGTAATATGTCAAATTAAAACTATAAAACTGTGCCGTGTTTATAATTTATTTCGACCTGGTGTTTTGAGATACTTGTTTGTTACATACTCGAACTGTGCCGTGTTTGTAAATTACTTCGACCTGGTGTTTTGAAATACGTGTTTGTAACATTGTCAAACTGTGCCGTTAAAATCCATGTTTTATGCACTTCATTAATATGTCAAATAAAACTATGGAATTGTGCCGTGTTTGTAGTTTACTTCGGCCGTGTCTGTTGAATATGTTTGCTTATTTCTCGATTTGTAATAAAAAATATATTTAAATAAATTTGTTGTGTTTGTACTTTATTCGGCCTGATGATCTGTAAAACGTGTTTATTAAACACTCGATTAATATGTCAAATTAAAACTATAAAACTGTGCCGTGTTTGTAATTTACTTCGATCTGGGGTTTTTTAAACACACTCGAACTGTGCCGTGTTTGTTAATTACTTCGACCTGGTTTTTTAAAATGTACGTGTTTGTAACATACTCGAACTGTGCCGTGTTTGTTAATTGTAAATGTATATATAATAAGGTTGAAGACAGGACGAAGACCGAATCGATATATACGTTAAAAATTACATCGGAGGGCGGTTCTATTATGG